TAAAAGGCAGGGGAATGATGAGGATTATGTGGTAGGAACAGAATATCCTAAGCTGACAAAGGATACACTAATCCCAGAGCTACCAAATGACCGATCCCCACCTGAGTTTGACCCCCTACCAATCGACAACGATTGCCCTCATGGAAAGCCAAATCTTCCAGAAGGAACAAACGATGAGGATGCATTTGAGCTCTTTAGGCTCTTCTTTACAGATGAATTAATAGATTTACTTGTCTATTATACTAATGGAAATGCAGCCAAGGTTAAATCAATCCCACATCAAAAAGATGCTCGAATACATGCATGGAAAGATGTATCTAGGCCAGAAATGTATGCATACTTTGGAGTACTTATTTATATGGGTCTACATAAAGAACCAGCTATTGAAGACTATTGGAAAAAAGGAGATAAATATGCACCTCAACACCCAATTAATCAGTGGATATCCAGGAATCGGTTTCAAGCCATTGACTAATACCTCTACTGCGAGGACTCTAGCCAATCACCAACATTTACCTGCCCATTTGAGAGGATTTGGTAAGTTTCTAAGCACTTCTGAAAGGCTAGCCGAAAATACTACACCCCTAGAACACATTTGGCAGTAGATGAGTCTATAAAGAGATTTACTGGCCGGGCTAAAGAAATAGTTAACATTCCTTCTAAGCTAACACCAGAAGGCTTTAAAATATGGATTTTAGCAAATGAGGGCTATGTACTTGATTGGCTATTTCATGCTAAAGGACCCAATGGACCGTATAAAACTAGATTCTTACTGGACTAAGAAAGAAGGATTTACTCCTATAGAGGCAGTAGTTTTAGATCTTTTATTAAGGAGACAGGAAGAAGGATCTTCTTTAGGTGGTAATTACTATATTGTTTGAATTAACAACCTCTTTACCTCAATTAAGCTACTAGAACGCCTACGGAAGGAAGGGATAGGAGGTGCAGGGACTATCCATATAACTCATACAAAGCGTGAGCAGGATCTAGACAAGAAAAAGGGTAGTAGGAAACGTAGAAGGGGGTCTAAAAACGCTATCCAAAATGGCCAGATTCTTAGCCAGGACCTCAGCCAGGAGACCCAGGAAAATAGCCAGGATTTCAGCCAAAATTCGAGTCAAAATCTTACTCAAAACAAGCCCTTTGTGAAGCATGGGGAAAAGAGGAAAAATACTACTAAAAACGTCTAATTTCTTGGCCAAAGTCCTAAGAAGAGGACTAAGACATTAGCTAAGCAAAAGGAGATAGAAAACGAAGGTTATAAGCCCATAGGAACGCTTGAAAACGTCACCTAAAATAGCCAAAATTATAGCCAAAATCTCAGCCAAAATCTCAGCCAAAATCTCAGCCAGCCAAAATCTCAGCCAAAATCTCAGCCAAAATCTCAGCCAAAATCTCAGCCAAAATCTCAGCCAAAATCTCAGCCAAAATCTCAGCCAAAATCTCAGCCAAAATCTCAGCCAAAATCTCAGCCAAAATCTCAGCTAAAATCTCAGCTAAAATCTCAGCTAAAATCTCAGGCGCACGAGCAGGAAATCAACTCTCTCTTGGAAGGCTAAACAGGCTCTGGAGAATGTCGAAATCTTATGGGAAAATCGCCAGATTTCCAGCCAAAATGCCCAGTTTCCCAGCCAAGTTCTCAGCTATAGCCTTAACCAGGATTTGAGCGAAAAGACACCTCCTCCTCTACTCCCATATTCGACACCTAAGGAGGTGGATGAGAAGGAGGTGGATGAGAAGGAGGTGGATGAGAAGGAGGTGGAGGAGATGAGAGAGGAGGTGGATGAGAAGGAGGTGGATGAGAAGGAGGTGGATAAGGAGGATTGGAAGGATGAAGATTGGGAGGATGTAGCCAACGAATCAAGAGAGCGCTTCTCTTAAAAGCTGATGAATGTCAAATTATACCACACCAACGACCTACAGTGGGGGGAGCTGTATTACGACGTGTCAGATAACAAAACGGTTCTTCAGTTCGCCTAGAAAGACGCCCAGGTCATCTTATTTGCTAGTACTATCGCTCAGCCTGAGGAAATAGTTGAGAGAGAGAGGAAGAGACCTGCCAAAACCTCTACCAACGCTAAGTATACAAGACTAGTTTTTAGAGACTTAGCAGTAAAAGTTCTTTCTATTCTGGTATTTATTGATTTATATAATCACTTCATAAACGGCGTCGATTGTTTTGATCAAAGTACCTCTTATTATTTGACTCTTCGGGCCAAAAGGAAGACCTGGAAGCCTCTTTAGTTCTTTCTTTTTAATCTGGTTCTCTCTAATTGCTATAGGCTTTCAAGCTTCTTTAGTAAGCCTAATATAAAAAGAGGGGGTTATAAGAAGTTCCTTTAAAGCCTGGTTAATAGCCTATTTAATGCTTCTGCAAGACCAGCTAACAGGAGCTTCCGTACACCCTCTATAAGAGGTAATCACATCAAAATAGAAGAACACGGACCTAAGCCAACTAAGATCAGTAATAAAGTTAGGACCTGCTCAGCGTGCGCTGCTATTGGCCGAAAGAGAGAGCCTCTTAATAAGCTAGATCCTAATATACATCGGCGTACGCCAGAGACGAAGTTTGGGTGTGAGTTATGTTAAATACCACTCTGTAAATTAGGAGAATGCTGGAATGAGCACTTAAAACAGGTTGAATTAGCAAGATTTATAGGCTAGAGCACTGTAGAATTAAATTTGAAATGTGTAGGCTCTTAATTTAAGTATGGTGTTAATAAATACACTTGTAGAGTTGACTATCAGCTATCTAAAATCTTGAGTTTTGATTTTCCGTGGTCACTTACTAATACAGGATCCTTGCCTTCTAATTGGCCGCATTTGCTCTTGGCGAGCGCACAGACAGCGACGGCCATTCTGGCAGTGCATGGGATACCTATGATGAGCGACCACGGCGAACGAGGCTGTGCAGTAACATCGAAAGCAACTTTATAGAAAACCCTGTGGGGTCCAGCGCGTCTCATATAGACCATAGGCTGGAATTAAGAGGCAAGTCAAGACGGAGATAGGCTAACGCATTAAGGCCGTTCACCTCATTCGTCGTCGTCTTGAACGCCTCGTCTGGACATGATTATGTAAGAGAGGTTTAAGCATTATTAAGCGGGCTGCCTAAGCTCCAATCTGGTTAGCGTCAATCTATTAAAGATTCGGTTACAGTAGACCTTCATCCAAGATCCGCCTCTCATGCAAACCATGAGGCATCATTCAGTTCTTAACGGTGCAACCTCTGCCCGACTGGTCGATTACGGCCGCAATAATGATGCCTTGGCCCTCCCCTGTCCATTATCAATCTCCCCCACTCAAATCAGAGTCTCCCCAAACACGCAGCAGACATAATGTGCGATGTTCCTGGGCTTGAATTATTTGGTATTGAGGTTATCTAATTATTCTTCTGTCTGTTGTTTGTAAATACAAAAAAGCATCGGAGTATACTCTAATGATACCTCCACTAATCTCAAGATTCAATGTTCATCACCAACCGTCCCTTGAGATGAGGGTCCATATACAAATCCGTCACATCCGGGACCTTGCCAAGTGGAATCGTCGTCACATGGGAACGGATGTTGAACTTTGCTACTGTCTTCGACATCTCCTCAGTCTGAATTCTATTTGCCGCCAAGGAGCCCTTGATGGTAAGAGTTTTGAAGATGAGATCGAAAGAGTTGAACTGGCATCCACGGGTTGGCACTCCTAGCGGTACACACTCCATTGGGTCTCAGCAGCTTCAAACTCCATTCGCTAATACGCACATCGTCCGTACAGACAAGGACTGCGGTGAGACCGCCCTTGCCGGCCCAGGCCTAGACCTTGGCAATGGCTTCGCTGTCTTGAGAATCAACAACGAGGTCGGCTTTCAAAGGAAACTCGGTACCTAGCTCTCTCCTTTCGGGACGATTGTCGATAGCAACAACAGGATGGCCAACCGCCTTGGCAAGCTGAACTGCGAGAGACCCCAATCCTCCAATGCCGATTACTCCAATAGGTTGCGAAGGTTCCACTTTTGCTTCGTGGAGTCCGGCCCAGACGGTAGCCTTGTCACTAATATCAGATTAGGATCAACTAATGGAATAGACACAGTGGTGTTCACTTACACCGGCACACATCAGGGGGCTCCTTGCTCGAATGGAATGGAGCCCGGAGACAAGACGAGGTTGTCCGCCATACCTCCATCTGCAGTCAATCCAGCCATATCTCTATTCGCGCAGTATCGAATATCTTCCGTCGTCTCGCAACCAATACATGTCTTGCACGCATGGCGGAAGAGGATGACACCAACTCTATAGTCGACCTTCCATTTCGCTTGAGCTGCGGGACCAACAGCAACGACCGTACCGACTGGTTCGTGTGATGGGACAATTGGGTACGGCGAGCCATTACCCCCCTTCCAAACCTGGTAATCTGTGTGACAGAAGCCTGCATTTCCGACCTTGACCAGGACATCATTGTCACCGGTTTGTGGCACCGACACTTCGCGAATTTCGTACTTTCCTTGTACTGAGGAATTTTATTAGCTTCAACCTCAGGAAGGTGATAGCGACCTGTCTTACTCCAGCGAATTGAGCAGCTTTCATGGTCTTCGGGATTGACACGACGAACGGTTAATGGACGACGAATGCATACAATTTGGGTTTGGCTGAACAATGATCTATACGCAAATTGAAACTCCGGATATATGGCATCCGGGGTGGGGATGCTCAGGCCGATGATATGCTTATATCTTTGTTCTGTCCTGATTACCCTTGACAATGTTTGTAAGCAGCCCCTTCACTCGGAGACTAGGAAATGCTCCGACTCTCCTTTTGGAGATGAACCGCACTTCGATCATAAATTATACCACGTAACCGACTCTAGTAAGCATTAGAAGATAAATACATTCGGTGCTACAAGTCCTATCTCCGCTCTCAAATTCTACACACTGGAATCAACTTTACTTCTCAACCACAATCTTCAGGTTTTAACGTTCATTTTACAAACCTTGTGAGTCCAACCTCCCAACTTGCACACTATCCACCCCACAATGCCCAACCCCAACTCCACTCTCATAATAACTGCCCTCTACCCACAAACTCCATCTGTAACCATCAACATGTCCTACTACTTCTCAATCCACACACCTGTAGCTACCAAGAACTGGAAACCCAAAGGTATGACACAAGGTGCACGGTCTACGAAACAGCAACCGACCCGGAATTTGCGGTTAAGGTGGTAACTGAGTGGAAGAGTATGGAGGGCTGGGAAGTGGCGCAGAGGGATGACGGGATGAAGGGAATCTCGGAGGATGTGAAGAATGTTACGAATGGGAGCACAGTTTTTGTTGTAGGGGAGGTTGTTGGGTGAAGGTAGAACTAATAATGATGGAATGGGCATTGAGATTTAGTTTACATGCGTTGTTGGAGGTTTGGAGGTTGGATACATAGCACGATACAGCGAATATATGATCTCTGCCTTTATTGGCCATCCTTGACGCCCCCCGAATCCCCAATGTTCACCCAAGCCATCCCATTTTCAACAAATGCCTCCTTCCCCGGCTTCAGAATCTCGTCAAATAACGAAGCTTTAACAATAACCTTCTCCTCTCTCCATCAAGCATCGTCATAACAGGGCTCCCACACTTCCCGCAAAACCTTCTCTAATCCGCATCAGCTAACCCCTTGTATCTCTCCTATTTCTCAATCATACCGCGATTGTATTCTCAGATACGGTATTACTACCCTCGTAGCTCTTTAAAAGGCCTTGCTCGTCGATAATCTTTACGTCTGATATTGGGACCAGGAAATTCACAGAACATAACGCACCGCCGGCTCGTCGACAATTGGAGCTATAGTATGCTTAATGGGTGAGAATTATGGGAGGGTTGGGTTAGGTGTACCAGTAACTTATTACAGAGGCGGGAGGGAAGAATGAGAGAAGGACGAGGATGCTGCCGCAGTTGTAGTGGCCTTCTACGGCCATGATAGATTGCGGGACTTCAAGGTCAAGGCTCGGGTTTTTTTGGCGAAGTGATTGTCAGTAGTGAGTTCGAAGTATTCCTTTCTCCGGACGTATTAAGATTAAAGAGGTATCGGTAAGCTAGGAAGATACATCAGGATGAGGAACCGAGGGTCACATAGCATGAGCACGAAAGAGTAACGTTAGGATCTAAATCGATACTAAGTTCCAATGGCTCCAGTCAGCATACGCTCTGAGTGCTGCTTTGTTGCCCTTTTCTCTGCCCGTTCGTGAATCTAGATGCTATCCAGGAGGTTCGGACTCTCCTTTCGTTCTCGGGCTATTTCTTCCCCAGCTCCGATTCTACTTCTAGCATGAAATAGGCACGGTGTCTTCACCAAGCCGGAGGGGAGATAACAGTCTCACCCGGGCTGTGAATGACGTTTGACATTTCATTGGTGGATGTTGATGGAGTGACGTTGGGGAGTCGGAATAAGGTAACTGGTCGTCCCAGTACGGTTAGCGTGCCAAGAGTTCGGACACCTTCGTCAACCAACATCTGTGAATTCTAGATCTTGCGACTTGAAACTTTATACCTCACTCACGGCCTTGGATTTCTTGGGCGCATTGCATAGGACTTAGACTCTTCTGTGGGACAAGCTTTGGTAAAAATGTCCGTTTGCGACAGGGAATAAGATATATACTCACTGTATTGTCACAGTCGACAACCCAACACTGTCACACACCTATAACTCCTCCAGAACCACACATTCGATCGATAACCGCAAAGAACCCACACGCTCCTCCGAACTACATTCTTCCTCCACCGAACCGACACCCCCCATAACCCCCAACAATCATGTCCCGCGACTCCAGCGCAACCCACCTACACCTGCACTCTCCCCACCACGCTGATCTCCTCGAAGCCTTCACGCAAAAATCCCATTCGCACCCCAGCACTACCGCCACAACCTCTTACCCCTCCACCTCTCTCCTGCCCTCCCACTCAACGAGCCAAATCCCGCCGGAAGACATCTACGTACCGCCGCATCTCCAACCGTTGAATCCTGAAGATGAAGACGATGTGGTGCCAGACCAGCATGCTGCTTTTGGGATACAAAGGGCGACACAAAAGAATAGGGAGGTGGTGTGGCGGGATCTTGGGTTGGAAGAATTAGTTAGGAGGGGCCCTGGAGGACGCAGTGGGGCAGGAGGGAATAGTGCTAGTGGTGGAAGTGGGGTGGGAGGACAGAGGGGAGGTGTGGGTACGAGGGTAGAAGAACCTGTGGTTCTGGCTTTAAGGAGGAGGCCCGGGGCGAGTGGAAGTGGTGCTGGTGTGACGAATGCAGCGGAGGCGGGTGGTGGGGCTGGGAATGGCTTGCCTAGGTGAGACTAAAGGAAAAGGCTTGAGATAAAAGAGTTATGGCTATGAGTATCAGACACTTCCAGGCCATCGTTCATGGCAGCTGGAAACCGTTGAAGACTCGGGAGATATGAGTGGGATGTTACGGGCTTTGAGTGCAGAATTGAAATGGTTTCAGAACGACGATGGTTACGGTCGCGGTGCCTCTATGGGCTATGGATCATGATGACGAGCATGCTATTAGCTCACACGAATCTATATGAAGGGTGGGAAGCATCGGTTGCGGTCAAGACAACATCCCATTGGATAGAAGCCTCATATCATGTTTTCAACGGATTGCGATTACGGCAATTGAGGCGTGAGTCAAGCCGCATATTTGTCTTTTAATGTAATAACGGGATGCCTTGACCTAAAGAATCAATTGCCATCAAACAAGGTACCAAACCAAGGAAGAAGGGCAACCTGGTCAATCGCAATGCAAAAGGAAGTCATGCATACTGAACCTCTACTTGCATTTTAAAGGGCAGCAATCCCATCATACACGTGCCGCATACCCTAATACCAATCAGAAGCCCTCACACCCCAAACCATCCACCATAACCTCGACGCACCTATACCTAACCAAGCCTAAAAAACCACCCAACCGTTTGCTTTTCTCTCGTCTCCGACGCGACGCCCTCTTCATTTCCTTACACGAATAATGTCGTTAGCAATAACTCGGGAAAAAAAAACTGCTCCTAACCAAAAGAAATCCAAAACAGGGGTCTAGATATTCGTACTCAGCCGATGAACCACAGGTACGCTACTGGGCGGCAAACTCCCATATTCCGTAATCACCATATTGATGTACTCAGCGGGCGTGACATCATACAGCACCTGCAACATCTGCAAATTCTTCTCTTCTTCAAACCAACCTATTACCTCTCCCTCTCCCTCCTCCTTCTCTCCCTTACCATCATCTCTCCCCTTGGAGGAAGATTGGGACTTCGGTAAGCATGACTTGAAAGGGAGCAGAGCTTGGCGCTCGGACTCTGAAAGCAGTTCCGACGATGGAGCGACTTCGTTCCCGACGATGGAGTCTAGAGCGACGCGTTCTGTGAATTTTACGGATTCGCAGAGGACGATGACGGGGATGGAGGAGCTGGAGGCGAGCATGGATATTAGGGCTGTGCCGACGCGGGAGTAGAGACGGCCGTTTGACATCATTGCGTGGGCCTGATCAATATCAGCATGACAAATCTGGAAAGCCAAGTTCACTTACTCCTAGTAAGACCTTCGTTGCATCCTTGACTGCATGTGCCGCGCCTGTAACCAGCGCATACTTTACTTTGATCCCATGCTGTGCGAGATTTCTTGCTAGACGTTTTCCCTCGAATAATGGCTTTGAGTCTACGATGATGACGGAAAAGGGGGTTCCTTCCTTGTGGGCGCGGAGAAGCAGTTTTTCAACGACGCTGCTACTAGCATAGGTGAGAATGACATCCCCGGGCCTGATTTTATCGATTGCATTATCGCAAATGAGATGGTCGGCGGCGGTGATACGCTGGAGGATGAATGTGTCGATTTCAGAGAGGAGGTCGCGCTTTGCTTCAGCTTCGGGAGTTGAGGGGTCAATTTTAATAATGACTAGAAATATTAGCATGAATTGATAGAAACAAGATTTAGTGCTTATAGTTACCGTCTTTCAGCCATCGAATGGCATTTCCCATGCTGATACTATCACGTGATCGCCATTAGCGCTGAAGAGCATTCAACCATAGTAGATTCTCACCTAAGCGGCCGACAACTTCGCAAGTAATCTATTTGCGGACTGAGGTGATGTGATGTGAGATGTCGTGCCAGACTGGTGCCGACAGGGGTTTGATATGACTCGATGACCTAGCAAACATCAACTTGGGAGATAATCAGGCACTGCATCTTAGACGTACAGCCTTGAATGCTAACAGCATAGCAACCATGCGAGCAGTGCTTCCACAAACCACGTAACTACTATACTGAAGACCCAGAGCAAGAACAGCTGGGTGAACCTCTTTCGTAGCACCAACCATAGAATGCTGCCGCAGTTGACTGTAGAGATGGCCGAAGAAAAGCCCGATCTGCTTTGGCTCCTTTTTAGGTTCTTTCTTTATGTCTTTCGGCGCTGGTACGTTTGTCTGGGAAGGCCGTCCTCGTACAGGCAGCGCTTTCGACTTGTCTTCTTTCGGTCCCTGCTTCGACTCTTTTGTCGGCTTCTGTCCATCTTTTGGTGGTGGACTTTTTTGCTGATTTGGTGGTCCACCTGAGGCTTTGGCTTGTGCTCTCCGTGCTTGCTTTTCTGCTTGCTTCTGCTTCTTTAATTCAGCGGCGGACAGCTTTGGCGCTCCTTCTGCTGCTGGTGCGTTCACATTCTTGGCGTCGCCCGTTGATTGCGAAGGCGGATTACTGGCGCTGTCTGGTGTTGGAGCTGCTGGCGGCTGTGCAGCACCACCACTTGGGGGATGGCTCATGGCGGTAACGGTCTCGGTCGTCCTCGAACGGGATTTCCAGGAGCAAACAGACTTTAAATGTAGATTGATTCTTAAGCGATGAATAGAACTGATCCTGACTGGTTGACTTGTGTAGATAAGCAGTGCAGTATCCTCGGTTTTGGCTTTGGGACCGGGTAGAAGTAAATTGGATGTCGTTGCGGACTGTGGATGCGATTGTCCCGTGACAAAATTGAGAAAGTAAATGTTCAATATTGAGTCAGCGGATGCCAATCCGAACTAGCCATTCTTGGATTTAGCGTTTGAGCTTAATCCCAGCCCGCCGTAAGTGCGTCATTGAGAAATACCTAGGTACTCTCACCCTCTCTCGCCTCACCAACTCTCTCAAACCTCCATTCTTCCCAACTTCAGCATGACCGAACGAACTGCTTCCCTGGTCGACCTTCCTATCGATATACTTGTCCTCATATTTCCCCACTTGGATGCGAGGAGCTTCCTCTCGCTCTGCCGAACCTGTAAAAGTTTCCAACAACCCTCCATTCGCCTAGATCCTGCGTACTGGAGATACGCCACCCAGACCACGTTCCGCGTCCCCAACCAACCAGTTGTTCAGCAAGATGGCGAACGATGGCAGAAGATGTACAGGAAAATGCTCACCCAGAGTCGAGTGTT